TAAGAGTCGGACTAAATACTGAAGTTCAGCTGCAGCTTTTTTTAACTAACGAGAACTTAAAGTTATTTAAACGTTTCTATTTCAGCCCGTTTGATGACGAATGTGTTTCAGGTCAGAGTTCTGCTGCTCTGCCAGGTTTGGAACATAGAGAAGTTATTGTTGTTGTGTGCAGCGGTGGGAAGAAGTACTCGCATCCTTTACTTAAGTAAAAGTATCAAGAAAACAAGAACAGTTTCCACCCTGATGAAGAGATGACGTCAGAAACCATCTCTGTTTAATGACCCTGAACCGTCTGACTCGTTTCCTCCTACTCATGTAAAGAATGCAGCTCTTCATGAACATGTTCTTTAATCCAGCTTGTATGTTGTTGTACTTTTGGATACTTTCAGCCTCATACCTGAGTAGGATTCTGACTGCAGGACTTTAACATGTAATAAAGTCTTGCTGCTTGACTCTGGGGGGTCAGAGGTGAACCTGATCCCACCCTGACATCAGGAGGACTCGGCAGGAGGTCGGCGTGTCGCTGCTTTGTGTTTCAGGTTTTCCCCCTGTGTTCACAGAGATGGGGGGTCAGGCTTCCACAGTCGAGGGCGTCCATGTGGTCGTTGTGGGCGGTGGGTTCGGAGGCATCGCGGCGGCTCAGCACCTGAAATCTCGAGGACTCTGCTTCACTCTGATCGACATGAGAGACGCTTTCCATCACAACGTGGCGGCTCTCAGAGCGTCGGTGAAGCCCGGTACCACAGAGACCTTGTTGTTTTATTTACTTTTATGTTACTAATCACTTTTATTTGCATTAATTTAGTTTTGATCCATCGTTAGTTTGTTGTAAATTTTACCTTCACTATTATTATTATTTGCATATTTATGTTGCATCTTTTTTACACTGAGTGCTTTAATAGTTTTTTTAGATTCAGAAAGAGGAAGGAGCTAAAATAGTTATGAGCATGTGTTGAGGCTCAGACTGACTCAGACAGATGAACTTTACCACACAGAGACTAGACCTCCGCCCTAAAGCCTCGACCCTGAACCCTCGCACACTCAGCTGAGCGAGAGGCTGCGAGGGCCGACATGGTGTCATGAGGCAGCACTTAGCGACGCATCACGTTACTTTGACGACGCCAGAAGACGTGACGTACATTTGTGGGTTTGGGACTTTTTAAATTTACATTTTTTACTTTCTCCGCGGCCGTGGAGCTGAAGGTTGCTCCGGCTTTCCCCTTATAACCACGTGGTTAAGGTCACAGTGCTATGAACTCTGGGTAATCCCCTCAGGCAGAGTCTGCAGACAGGCCGACTTGTAGGAAGTGTGCAAAGGTTTTAAAGTCTGTGAGGGAATGTTGCAAACTTGTGCCCATGTGACCGTGGCCCTAACCGCCTGCAGGAATGTGGAGGGATTCAGCCAGCGTGCGTTATGGCGTGTGACCTTTGACCTCTGACTCTCCCGCAGGCTTCGCTCAGAGGACCTTCATCCCGTACGCTAAGACGTTTGGAGACAGTTTCGTCCAGGGTCGAGTCGAGCGAGTCGACACCGAGAGACAGACGGTCGTCCTGGAGGGAGGACGGGTGAGGAGACAGAGACACGCTAACAGTTTCCCCCTGCTTCCAGTCTTTGTGCTAAGCTAGGCTAAACACGCCCTGGACACACAGATGAAACTGGTTTGCTCATCAGACAGCGAGAAATCTCCAAAGCCTTTTGTTTTAGGAGCTGAGACGTCATTATTTAATGTTTTGGTTCGTTCAGAAAGGTTTCTGGAAAAATTTTTAAGATCTAACATGAAGATCAGATCTGAAAGGCTCAATGTGTGGAATTAAAGAAATAATCTGACAAACCTTTTTTTAAACTGCAAATAAAAGCAAAAATTAGAAAATAAAGAAACTAAATTTTCACAAAAAATGTGAAGCTTTGGCTGAAACTCCTCTTCAAAGATAAAGATGGTCCAGCTGAATTCTACGTATGTTTATAAGATCAACAAATAAAAACGCTTAAACAAAACGCAAAATGAAGTGATAAACGTGTTAATCAGTGATCTTTAGACGTGCACTTCCCAAATAAACACCAACCTATAATTCAACTGTACATATTTATTTTTAAACTTTACTTTTTGTTCTTTCTGAGAAGTTTTACTTAAATTTTTGTGATTGTTTTTGAGTTTTACTTTTATGAAATTACTTTATTTTATTATTTTTTAAATTTTTTATTTAGGGTTTGTTTTTTATTTTTAATTGGTTAATTTTAGTATTTTATATATTATAAGTTTAGAAAATGAATTTAAAAAAAATTTAATCACATTCATCAAAAAAAAAATTTTAAAACTATATTTTACTTAGTTTTTTTTTGCTTAGAAGTTTTAAATGTTGCTTTTGTTTTGCAGATTTCCAACAAATGTTTTTCAGAAATGTATTAAATGTTTCAGGTTGTAGATCTATTTTTAGTTGACTTATAATTATTATATATGTTATCATCAGTAGAAACAGGCCAAATAATCTGCAAGTGAAGGCTGATTTACATCCAACAGACCAAGATAACAAGGTTTTAAGACACAGTTTGCAGTTTGCTGCCCTCTGGTGGTTGGAGGTCCACCTTGCTTATTTACCAGTTTGTGTGTGTGCTGCAGGAGATCCAGTACTCCCACCTCATCCTGTGTACTGGGACCGATGGAGCGTTCCCCGGGAAGTTCAACACCGTGGCGTCGTATCAGACCGCCGTCCAAACGTACGAGGACTTCATCCAGCAGGTACGATGCGTCAGTGGATACCAGGGTCTGCAGAGAGCCGCATCATTACCCCCCGTTAAACCTGTGTGTGTGTGTTCAGGTCCAGGCAGCCGACTCTGTGTTGGTGGTCGGAGGAGGGTCGACCGGCGTGGAGATGGCTGCTGAGATCAAGACGGAGTATCCAGACAAGAAGGTGATCAGATCTGAGTGACCTCTGACCTCTGACCTGAGTCTGTCAGTCAGATAAAAGGTTCTTTACGCTGTTTTCTAACTGTGCTGCTGAGATAAAGAACTTGCAGAGGTGGAAGAACGTAGTAAGTAAGGATCAGTATTAACTCACTGTGGAGTCTTGCATTCATCAGCGGCGTGACGAGAGATGATATGAACATTTCAACCATTAAAAACTTTGTTTCCTGCATTCTGCTGATTTTATTTTATTTTTTTCTGCACTGGTTTCAGCTGGAAATGGTTTTTATTTATGTAAGTGAGTCTAAGTCAGTGCTGCTCTCAGATCAGTTTCTCCTGTAGATCAACTTAATATCTGCTGAGTCATGGTTCAGTCTTCCCTCCTCTTTGTGTCCATGTTTGGGGAAGTGACCTCTTTAAATGTGACCGTGGCTCCTTTTTCACCTCCGATGAGAAATGAAGTGTTTCAGCAGCTTTTCTGCTCACGTTGAAAACTTTCTGCAGAATCTGTCCCGTATCTTCCAGAGAAAAGGAGAATATATTTAACAGAATATTTTAAAAGTCTAGCTGCCGTTCACTCTGCTCTGCAGCTTATGACTGTCAGGGCTTTAACCTGACGAGAAATCTCCTCACGTTTTAATCTCGTCAGTGTTCAGTTAAAGTCTGAGAGTAGTCACCGCGCAGTAAAGTGTTCCTGTCGGTGTTTCACTATGAACTACTGCCGTTAATCTTTGAACCTTACGTCCTGTTATCCTGTACGCAGAGACACGTTTTAAAGCGTATTCTCATGTTCAGGTGGTTCTGATCCACGCCAGAATCGGGCTGGCCGACCCGGAGCTGCTGCCCTGCGTCAGACAGCAGGCCAAAGAGGTTCTGCTGGAGAAGGGAGTGGAGCTGCTGCTGGGTACGAAGCGCTGGTTCACACCTGCAGACCAGGCGTTTGGCTCAGACCAGGTTCTGACGGGGTTTTGTGTTTCAGGTCAGAAAGTGTCCAACCTGTCGGAGCTGCAGCTGAATGTGACCCGGAAGAACACGGCGGTCACCACAGATAAAGGAGAGCAGCTGACCACAGATCTGATCATCTGCTGCACCGGACTCAAGGTCAACTCTGCAGCCTACGCCTCCAGCTTCTGTGAGTGCACGAACGCTTCGATTCTCTGGAGACCGACCCTTAAACCAGATCCTCACATGAACATGTAACGTTATCGGTAGTGATGCGTGTGTCGCTCCCGGCGACCGTCCGGGAGGCAGTTTTATTATTCATCCAACCTTTTAACCATCACTTTGACAGAATCTGCGTGTTTGTTTCTTTCAACAAATAAGAATGTAAAACGTTGTATTTCTGCTCGTCTGGTTAGAGTCTAACTGCATTTCATTAGCTCGGTACCTGTTCTCTGCACAACGTTAACTCTAATCTGATCCTAAATGAAGAACCGTTTGAGAGCCGGCCCCCGTGAAAGAGCCATAACTCCCACCATTAGTTACGGGGGCCTTGTATTTTGGCCCCATAAGGAAGGCGCGTCCTCACAATGTGTGAACAGATAATTACTGATTCGATAAATTATTGCAGATATTAGGCGTATTTTTAATATCGGAATCGTATCAGAAAATGAAGTTTTGGCTGATGAGAATCAAACACTGCTTTAGTGTCATGTCCTCACACTGACTTTTAAAAAGAGATGATTTTAATTAAAACTCGCAGGCTAGTGGTGCTAAACTGAAACTGGCAGAGCTTCTGGAGCATCCTGCTAACATTTAAAGGTGTGAAAAGTACTGTAGGCAAAAAAACTGAGGTACTTGTACTTAAGTCTGTTCTTTTAATGCTACTTTCTCCTGCTGTACATCCTGACAGCTTTAGTTCTAAATCAGTGACCTGCTGCTGATTCACTTTACACTGACACACATTTTACTTCATACCTGCTGCCAGTGATGTCACGGCGTACTAACACACTGTGGCGTTCACTTCTACATCTCTGTACCAAGGTTAGAAGGTAAAACCTCTGAACACTAGACTCTTGTGTCTGATCTACTGAGCTGCAGCACAGAGTCGAAACGCGCCACCGAACTGATACTCAGAGCTGCGCCGTATGTTTGCATCCAAAGAACATCTTAAACCTGGGTGGAAGAAAATGTACACCTGTAACATTTATTAAAGTAATGTGAGCCAGTTCAGTATTCACACCCTTTACTGCAGTAAAAGTACTTATACCACTATGTAGAAGTACAGCAGTGAAAGGATGTGTTTGATGTTGTGACCACTAGATGTCAGTGTCTGTTTAAAACAACCTTAAACAGAAGGAAATAACTTTGGACTCTGATTGGCTGGTTTGGGATAAAAATCGACTCCAGTCTTTCAGCTTCAGCTCAGGAGGTCAAAGGTCACGTTCACTGATGATGATCTGTTAATGGATCGTGATGTTTCTGCTGACAGCCGGCTCTCTGGCCGAGAACGGCGCTCTGAAGGTGAACGAGCACCTGCAGGTCGAAGGATTCTCCAACGTCTTCGCTGTGGGCGACTGCACCAATGTCAGCGAGCCCAAGACGGCGTACCACGCCGGGCTGCACACCACCGTCGCCGTCAGCAACATCGCCAACAGTCTGAGCGGGAAGGCGCTGACCTCATATCACACAGGTGCGCACGCACACGCGCGCACACGCACACACACTTCTGGGTTGCTGCTGGTTGTCTGACTGTCTGTGTTGCCGGTTGCCAGGTAACGTCACCATGCTGCTGGCGATGGGCCATAACGACGGCGTGGGTCAGTTTAACGGGCTGAAGTTGCCTCGTTTCCTCGTTGCTTTGGGGAAGAGTCGAGATCTGCTGCTGTGGAAGAGCTGGAGGGAGATGCAGCAGAAGCAGCCCTGACACACACACGCACACCTGCACACGCACACCTGCACGCACACCTGCACGCACACCTGCACACACACACACCTGCACACACGCACGCACACCTGCACACACCTGCACGCACGCACAGCACACACACCTGCACGCACACACGCACACCTGCACGCACACACGCACACCTGCACACACACACGCACACCTGCACACACACACGCACACCTGCACACACACACGCACACCTGCACACACACGCACACCTGCACACACACACACCTGCACACACACACCTGCACACACACACACCTGCACACACACACCCTGCACACACACACACCTGCGCACACACACACCTGCACACACACACACCTGCACACACACACACCTTTCTGTCACGCTTCTCCTAGTGAAGGATTGCTCAGGTCACCAGTGGGGATGTGTCCGTCCACTCACGTTATTTTGAACCACGTCTAACTCATTTTCTATAGAACTCTCTCCCCTGAATGTTGCTCAACTTCTCAGCTGTGAAATCAGATTTATTTACAGACAAAGACGTGACTTGTTGTTGAATACGAGGATGTGAAATGATGTTTCCTTTCCGTCCTGCTGCTGGAAGCGTAGAGGTAGAAACCCTCTAACGTGTCTACGTGTGCCTTCATCTCCAGGAGGAATCAGTTTCTGACTCTACGCTGTGTTGAAGAATCAGCGGAAACTTGACTGAAGTCTGGTTGGTGCTCAGACGGCCTCAGAGGATTTAGCCCGTTCTGTCCTCTAACCTTAAAGTCAACAGCTCTTTGAAGACCGGACAAAATGTCCTCACCTGTTTACTCAACCAGGTTTACTCGGTGTTTATGCTGCCATGGCAACCGGTGCCTCGACTCTCAGCTAATCGAGGTGAAGTTGCTGAGGAGAGTCGTTCGATCACAACGTGGAGGATTTGTTCGTCCACATGAAGCCGGTTACGTTTGCAAACATCTTTTTCTCTGTCCGCTCGGACTGAAATAAATCCTGAAACTGAAGACAGCAGAAGAAGAAGAGTTCCCCGTATTCAGGTTCAGGTGTTTCCGTCTCTGGAAAACACGTCATGGACACACTTATCATAACGTAGTCGGCTTCCTGTGGACGCAGTCTTCGCTGTTACATTAGATGTTTACTGTTGTGTCAACAGTCTCTCTTTTAATCCTTTACAATATGTAGGTGCTTTCAAATAAACGTGCCATCGGTCTTTATTTTGCACGTCTGCGTTTCTTTGTTAAAGAGCAGGTTAAACAAACTGATCCTGAGGTGGGAAACAGGTTCTGATCAGAATCAGTTCAGTCCGCTCTGAGTATGTTGAGCCTGATTGAAACGCATGCGTGGGGATGGAAAAAAGCCTCATCAATGGAGCTCCGATACGATTCACCATGACAACGGGTATGTTAATAGGGTGGAGCTAGAAATATGAATACGCGCCAACGCGGATCATGATGGCCTCTGAAACGCAGGAGTGGAGGATCAATTAGTGTTTATACAGCGTTGCTCATCCGTCAGTTACCAGACTGGACTTAATGATAAAGTGCTGGATTCTCATTATTATTCATTTTAAATAGGAAGGCTGTTTTTAATAAGCTGTAACCTCACAGGGCTAAATGCTGGTGGTAATCTGCTACCTGACTATGAAAAATAGGTATAGATCAAATATAAGTTTACTCGTGATTGAAGTCAGTCAGCAGGTTAGACTTATTTTTGCAGTGGAAAATGTGTTTATGGGTTCAAACTGACTAAAAAAATCTTGCTCATCTCGTATTTTATGAAATGCTGTCAACACGTTCAGACTATCAGCCGATAATGAAAAACTCAAACTACATTTGTTTCAGCTGCACAGTAAGATCATCGTTTACTTGCATATTAGACAGAGACTACTGCAGTAATGCAGCCGACCGCAGGCTGATCTAGAGTTTCTGATCTCGCTCTCTGAAACAAAACGTTTCCTTCATCTCAGGCTGAACATACTCAGAATTTTCACGAAACGACGCTCAGGTTCACAGAGGAGTTTGTCTAGTCAGACGTAGTTCTAACTGTAGAAGTGTTAAACATTTCCTCCTCTGCTCTTTGGATGGAAAAAGGACTTTATGCAGTTTAAGTAGTCACCTTCACGAGTTTGTTTAAAGTTGCGTAATGTATTTAGACAGAGCTTAAACATTTAAATCTGTAACACAGATGCTGTAGTTTGAGCTGAAACTAAACATTTAATGATTGACGCCAACATGTTTTTTTTTTTTAAACTGAGTCTGTTTTGTAAAGTTGCAGCTTGGGGGAAAAAAAAAAGCACACATGTATAAACAAACAAACTTCTTTATTATGTTTTTTTCCAAACAATAAATAAAAATATTACAAACTTGAACATCTTTGTTTCTCAGTGTGTTCATACAGAAAATCATCGTCTGTCAGCTTTCATAGACTCATTCTTTAAAACAGCTTCTCCTGCTGAACGGCTCCTTAAAACTCACAATCACACACTTAAAAACAGAACGGCTGCAGAAGCAAACAGATTTGAGGAAAACGCCAACAGCTGTAAAACAGTCAAACCCTCTGTGGTGCAGGAGACCAACAGTCACATTCAGCTTGTGATTCACAGAATGTGTCGTAAAGTTAAACTGGAAGTGAAACACCACGAGTGTTGGAGACCTTTCCGGCCACCGATTGGCTGCCATCATGTGTCAGATTAATACTAATAAACCAATAAATGTTTTCTCAGCTGTAAACTGGTTTCAGATTTGCGCTCTGTCTGCAGCTTGAAAAACTTCCCGTTTGACCAACAGAAGTTTCAGTTTGACCAAAAGAAGATCAGTCAGTCATCGGCACCAATTTGACAGTTTGATCGTGTTAATGTGAGGACTTCGTTTTCAAACCAGTAAACTAAGTCTTTGGACAAAACGAACATTTAAATAAGTCAGGACGGCCCTTTAACAAGCTAAACAATCAAAGCTAATCTTTAGTCGCAGCTAATGTCAGAGTCAAATCTGAAGGAAGCAGCAGCGAACGCAGATGGATTTGTTTTAAATATTTCAAGCTCCAAAAGTCAAAGTTGAGCAGCTTCGTCTGATTTTGTCGAGTCCTAAAGATTTCTGGGGTTTCCAGCCTGTAAATGTCAGGAGCAGGTTTTTCCTCTGGGAGGCTTTGAATAATTAAATGTAAAGAAAAAGGAGTTGCCGTCAGGACATAACTGACTCACAAAGCAAACGCCCTGCGAGCGAGCCTCCTGATTGGCTGCTGACACAGGTGGAGGTGTGGCGAGGGTAAACCTGTACGAGCTGAACGGGAGCGGCAGGAATGTGACGGGCGTGTCAGGGACAGCGCCTCCAGAGCAGACTGGATATTCACAGATCTGTTATTAATGCTGAAGTGGTGACAGGAAACTGTTTAAGTTTCATCATACTATTTTATTTACACTCTGTCGCCGGGCCAATAAATAAAAATATAAACACTTTTGTTGAGCTGCTGTGGGTCGAGACTGAAGGTGAGAATCAGTTGCAGGATTTCTGACAGACTCTGATTAACTTTAAATTTTGTTTTCCCTCAAATCTTCAGTTGAAGGACAATAAAATGAACCGAGAAGAATCAGAAGGCACGTTTTACAGGTCCAATCAGTTCTGACCCAACTTCCTGGAAAGAACGGATTGGCGTCACCTAGAAAGTCTTTAGAGGACAGAAGGTTATTGGAAGCTGGTCAACGAGTACAAACCGCTTCATCTGTTCCAGGAAGTTAAACCTGTAAAATAAAGTGTTACCTGCTTCTTCTGGCAGGAAGAGTAAAGTTTGTTTTGTTTTTTTAAACGACAGCAGCTTTGAGTCTTAACACGTGACCATCTGCGGTAGGGGAGACGTCCCACAATGCCTCTGGTCTCTCTAGTCCGTCTTGGTGGGCTTCCCCTCGCCGCTGCCGCGCAGGTACGTCTGGTAGAAGAAGTTGGAGAAGAGCAGCAGGTAGCTGAGGTACATGAGCGAGGCCCAGGCAATGTTGTCCAGGTGGGAGGGGCAGTCGCCGTGCTGCATCCAGCGGTACACCAGCGCGCTCACCGTCAGCCCCATGGCCATCTGACTGATCTGAGCGCTCGTGATGAGCACGGCGAAGGGCCGAGGCACGCGCATCCCGGCGGCACGTGCGGCGTAGTAGCTGTACATGAGCGCATGCACGCCAAAGTTCATGGTCATGAACCAGCCGCCGCCGGCCACCATGTCTTTGTAGGAGTACCAGGAGTACAGCAGCACGGTGATGTGGTGGTACCAGTGCAGGAAGAGCAGCTTCTGTTTCCTGAGCACGATGAACGCCGTGTCGCCTGCGAGACAAAACCCAGGGACAAAATTAGACACAGGAATCAAACTGCTGGATTTCAGTTCCCCAGAGTAGAAATTCATTAGTGCCGTTCCACTGTTCACTTTACTGTTCTGTGTTTACATCCAACAGCATCAGACGCTGATCGGCTTTAATACGTCATTTAAACTGACCGAGCTCCGGCGCTTTGCTCAGGACGAAGGCGTACGCCCAGAACTTGCTGACCGGCCCGTTGTAGAAGCTCTGGTTGCAGATGGACTGTCTGAAGCCGCTGCTGCTCAGGATGTGGACCATGTAGGAGCCGGTTCGGATGGCGCCCACGATGCTGCAAACAAAGCACGCACACAGAAGAAGAAAGCCATCAGACAACAGAAACGGCGAGCGTTCACCGCCTTGGCACCGACACCTCCGCATTGTTCTCAGGAACCACAAACACACACCTGAGCTCTAATTATGTTTGTGTGCAGGAGAGGCGGCTGCAGGAGAGGCGGCTGCAGGACGCCGTCTCTGTGGAAATCACTTTGTCAGCAAGGACACTAGAGACTGAAGGAGTCGGAAACAAACGCACATCTTAAATTGCACCGGGTGGACAAAATATCAGGAACACCTCAGGTTCTATCGAAACAGAATTTAAATTAGTCAGACGGGTTATTGTTCCTTAAAGTTTATCTGGAAACCGGTTTTAAATAAATTTAAACTAGAATTTCACCAACAACGAGCAGACCAACATCATGACCTTCCTGCGTAACAAGCCGGCTTACACACTGTAAACAACAGATATTAGGGATG